GTTAAGAGGACATAATAAACAACTAAACGTTCTCTGTTCTAGACTAATATGTGCCGTGTTTTGCCCTTGTCTATTTGCAAGTGACTCGGGACCTTTAATTAATGATTTGCTGTGTAACAGTGATACTTGATTCCACATGGTTATTAGAATAAATCAGCATGAAGCCAGTATGTTTAATTGCCAGTTGCGGTAAGAATCAGGCTCTTTAAAAATCAGCCACTTCAAACCCATTTTTACAAAGTTGGGTAAACCGAGTGAGCTTTTAGCAATGAAAAGTGGAGTAGGAGTAAAAACTGTTACCAGAGCAGAAAGCAATTTCACTTGCTTGTGTACTGTTTGTTAGAGGAATTACTTTTAAATGCTGTAACCCTTGTTCAGAAATATGTAAGAAACAAAAACAAAAGAAATGGTAGTTAACAGTAGGTGCTTACTGTAGTACATTGAGTTACATAAAGGCAGTTTACTATTTACTATAGTTAGAAGCACTAGCTTGTGTCGTCCATTAATGATTCATCTGAAAATATACAACACTGGAACTATGTAACCAGCTGCCAGGTTGAAATGTCTGTTCTTTAAAAAAAAAACCTTGTAAAAAAATGTGCTTTGAGAATGAGTTGAGAAAGACACGTTGCATTTGTTTAGAAACACTGAAAGGTTTAAAAGTGGCAAGGGAAAGAGAAAACAAAAATGACTGTAAAACACCAGCTGCAGAAGCCAGAAACATCGCAGTGTAAGTCGCTGTGGTGATTGGTCCTGCTAGCCTTCGCAGATGAAAGGGATTTATTTGTTAGTAAGCACTTGGCTGCCCTCAGAGATCTTTTTTTAATACATTTAGATCAACTGTGAGGTCACCTCCTGTTCCACACCTGCCAGTCTGTCTAAGGAGGGAAGGAAACAGGGCACTGTCTCTGAAAAACACAAGCCAAGGGCATCTCTGCAATATATAAACATGGAGCATTTGGGAACGATTTAAGGCAGGATTTGCTGTCACATTAAATTCTGCGAGCTATAAATGCATAAGGAAAACAACTTAGGCATTTACTGCCTTTGAAAATCAGTCAACCAGCCAGCCCTTCTTGAAGTCATTTTCTCCCCCCCCCCCCCACACACTAGAACTCATTAAATTACGAGTTAAACCTTCTTATGTGTTCAGCCCATTTTTTTAAATGTCTATGCCATCTACTGTACCTCTAATAATTTTGCATCAACTTTCAGGGGTTGTTTTGAATCACAGGTTTTCTTAGTACCCAAACTGAGCAGCTGAGTGTACATGATCAATCCTGCTGTTTTCTTTTTCTTACACTCCGTGTTATTCTTGTAAAAGCAGAAAGCTGGCCACCTGCAACACAGCTTTTGCCGAGTTTCACCAAGTCCTGTATTCCTCGTTCTGGAAAACAGTGTTGCAGCCTGGTGAAAACTACGCATACAGTACGTTGTTTCTTTCAGCACTCTGGTAGCATAGGAGAATACACAGTCACCTCTGCTAATTGCAGTTTGGAGTGCACTCTCACCCGTCCCCCTGGCAGTGAATATCTGGGGTGTCATGACCCGGGCCAGGCAGTGTGCTACTGTTGTGATAGTGGTTCCAGCGTGCTGATTGGTCCTTTCCTTTGTCAAGTGCCTAGTGTAAATATGTATCTGTCCATCCACCTGCACAGCGCTTGACAATTCTTGAATAAAAGTGAAATGACATTAAGACTGCTTCCTGAATAGGGTTTGATTTAAGGTGTGGTGAAATTGGAAAGTATGAAAGGTAATACCTAGAATGTGGTGCTGAGAGTGACCCTCCATCATGCCGTAAGCTATTCCAGAGAGCAGGAGTGCTAGTAAATATTTTATGGTTGCAATGTTTTTACGAGCTCTTTAGTTTTCAGCCGATAGGAGGGAGAGAAATCCGCATCAGTAATATATTCTTTCTGACAAGTGATACTACATTTTTACACAAAGTAATAAAAGTGTCATTTATCGGCTGACAGCTTGTTATCTTTAATTATAGTGATTACGACTATTCTGTATATTGAATGTGTCTACAGTCTGTCATCTTTTGCATTAAACTTGAGCTTTTGTCTGATCCCTAGTTTGTGCAATGATCGCTATTAAAGCTGTCCTTGTTTTTTTCAAATTGCATTGGATTCTTTTAATTAGCAATTTTTTTAAAAAAAGTTGACAACATTTGTGTTTCTTTGCTTTCTTTTGCAAAGGGAGATAGTGCTGCTTTTGATTTTTATAAGATGACATTTCTTTGAATTTGAAACAAATGCTTTCAACCCCAAGCCCAAAACTGAAGCAGATACTGTTTATACATTCCATTTGGGGGGAATGGAAATGAAAGAAAAAATGATTACACCCATCCTCAAATTCTCTTGGCTGCAGAAGTACTAAAATCACATTATGTTGTGTCTGTGATTTATGACGGGTTTATGGGAAATGATAAACACCCACAGTTATCAGCTCGTACAGTCTCATTTACTATGCAGTGCCTTTCTGAAATAGTTCAGGGCATGACGTGTTATCGCACTTGGCATCTGAGGACACTTACTATGAAAAAGTGATGCATGCCACCTTTTTTTCCCAAAGTGCAGATTCACTATAAATATTTAGGTTTCGAGCATAACATAAAATATTAAAAAAATACGCCAAAGCAATTTCTTAGCTGCGGAGAACTTGGAAGTAAGAACACAACAATAAGTCAGAAGAGGCTGCTTTGTTTGTCTGTGGGCCTGCAAATAACACGGAAACATTATTAAAGACCTTGAAGAAGGTTTTAAACCAGAGCAGGCGTCTTGCTCAATAGTTTGTTAGTCAGTAATCAGTCCGAAACATTTCCAGTGCTTGAAGGTTCAGAAGTTTAGCTGTGTGGTTAGCTGCAGGTCCCTATAGGTTCTTTTTTGTGTAAAGACATACTGTAGTTCCTATTTTAAGTCCTTTTTAAGATGTATTTTGTCTTAATTTCCACCTCCCTTTCACGAGCTCCAAAGGTTGAACTATGTCCCCCCTTCCCAACAAAAGAGATGCAGTCCCCTTGTTCTGTCTGAACTGTTGCCTTTTCTTTTGGCGGACATTAAAATGTCTGCCAGAATGACTTGTTGAATGAGTGTTAGCTCATATTTTAAACATCTCTTCCATTCTACTCATAAATTAGAGAAATAGTTACATGGTTGGAAGTCAAGCTCTGTGACATTTGTCTTTCAGAAAGGGGAGGCAAAGATCACAGAATTTCTCCATTTTTGTACTTTTATTTATATTACTGTATTTGTGTTATTCACACTTCTTCCTTAAATATCCAACAGCTCTTTACAGTATAGCGCGTAACTTGGATTTTGTCAGAGTACAGAAAAGGATTTTGAACTTTGTTTAAAGAATGTCTCTCACTTTACAGAAGGGTATTTTCCTAGTTTAATGTCACCTCAAGTAAAATTCCAGTACTGTAAATCTTTGAGCTTTGTACAAAGGCTAAGGTTGATATACAGTGCACTGCTGGACTCTGCCTGACAGTTTTAAGCCTGTTCTATTTTAGATGAACTGTGATTTAAAACACCTGAAGGCTTTGTATTACTTCTGAAGGAATTGATATCCCTGTTCTGTCAGCTATAAAATAAAGAGAATTTTATGGAAAGAGACCTCTGTGGAGCAAAAAAAATGCAGAGTTTCAAATCTATCAAGCTGTGCACCCAGGGAGCAGTTCTGATGAGAGAGTGTTGAAAATTAAAGGAAAATTGGTTCTCATTCGGTTGACCATCAATTATAGTCTCCTTTTTTTTTCACAGTGCGGCTGGGGGTAATTTTGGTAAGCATGCATTTATGCTTAGCAGTGGAACACAGTGCACTACAGTCTTGATTGCCAAATGTAGTTTCGTAATACATAGACATAGTTTTTATGTCCTTCCATATTAAAGCACACAGGGGAAATTGTTAAAAATGGGATTGCTGTTGTTGCTGAAAACGACAAAAGATGACTTACACTGCTGTTGTGCTTTTGGGTGACTAGAATCCTGATAAAGGCAGAGGCTCAAGCTGCTTATCTTTGGAAAGGCAGTGTTAGCAGGAGGGGAATGGTGCCCAGGTTTTGTAGTGTTCTTTGGCAGTTTGCCTCTGTCCTGACCTCTCAGACGCCACCGTTTGCCACATGGCTGTGCAATTTATGCTCATTGCGGCTTCGTTTCTCACCTCCTTAATAAGCAGAGCAGAGCTCAGACTCGGGCTGTGAGCTGCATATTTGCTGTGGTGGAACACATTCTGTTGTTTTGGAGGAAAACATGGAATTGAAGCATACCCCAGATTGTACCAAGCTTTAGGTGACACTCTGTAGTCACCTAACTTACTTCTTTCAGTCTGGCATTTCCTTTTCATTCAGGGTACATCTGGGGTTGAAGTATCGCACAACTGAAAAGAAAAACTAACTGAAGATATTTCAAGTTCCAAGTAATATCAGAATGCTTCTAAACCCTATTGGAATTTAAGCAGAGTTAAAACACAAAACTAAATACTGTAGAAGTAAATCTGGTAGGACCTCAGATCTCGCTTCATTTTACTTCTGTGCAGATTATACCACAGAAATTTTGAATAAAGGACAAAATCCATGGGTTTTTCCTCCAGCAAGAGCTAGTGATGGGACCTACTGAGTGTGTAGATTAGTACAGCTGAAATCCACGTACAAGCTTCTGAATTTGAATTTTTGCTCTGGACTTATCATGGTCACTTTGTGTGCTTGATTTTTGTTTTAAAAAACATTGTCCATTTCGGTTTGTCCAATAACTGATACCGCTAATGATCTTACTGCACTAAATCATGTCCTTTTTTGAAATTGGGAAATACAGCTGCACACGTTTGTTCTTCTCTTCTGTTGAACTTCACCATGAGAACTCGAGAGGCCCCAGTACATTACTGTACATGCTGCCTGTCCGCTGCCTTTGTTCAGATCTCGAGGGTGGGGGAGGTTGTTTGAAGGCTAGCTGTGGCACTTGATAAAAACACGTTGTCCTTTTTTCCTTGTCTTGCAGATCACCTTTTTCATGCTGCTGTCTGCTGTGTGTGTGATGCTGAACCTGGCCGGGTCCATCCTCTCCTGCCAGAATGCCCAGCTGGTGAATTCCCTGGAAGCCTGTCAGCTAGTAAGTACCACGGTGCTGAATGCTCTGAACAGGAATGCAAGGAAGTGCAAGGCTCCCATTGCTGGAGTAACGTGGCCAGCTGGGGGGGGGTAAATGGGCAGGAGACGTCATCTCTACATCTATACTCCTGAAATTAAAAAGGCCCTTAAGACACACATGGATCTAATTAAGTGTCTGAAAAGAAAATACCTTGTCTTCTGATAGAAAGGGCTAAAGCTGTTCTTTTTACTCTGCCAGGCACTAGTGATGGGATTTTTCAAGTATGGGGATTAATGTAGCCGAAGCCCTTCTCATGAACCAACAGAAATCCAAGATGTACTGTAGTTTCAAAAATTTATACAGAGCTTCTGTGGGGACAAAAACACATCCCGAAGACTCAGATGTATCTAATTAAGTATGTGAAGGGAGAATATCTTCTGAAGAAAGGGTTAAGTACAGTATGACAACCATGGCATCAGGAAATAAGAGGTTGGCAGCATTGTGGAAGAGTTGGGCCTCACCACATGTGAGGGGTGCTGGTGATGGCTCTGTGAGGGAGTGGTGTTCTATAGCAAGGTGCATGTGGTTCAAAGCACAGTGCGCAGATCAGCCGCTTCTTTTAAAGGCTCTTAGCAGAGCTGTCAAAGCATAATACGAAATGTCCCAATTTGGGAATCGAACAGTAGGAACTTCAATTACATGCATTCGCATTTACATTCCTCCTTGAACTCCAAAGCGGATTGTGGAAGCAGAGTGCTTCGTGTATCTGTACATTTGTTTGTCTCTTCTCAACAATAAGGAATAAAAATCAAAGAGCCCGACTCTTCAAAATCCGTTTTCTACTATTTGAGTGAAGAAAACAGTTTCTCCCCTCACAAGCACAAACACCACAAAACCTTTAGAACATACGTAAATCAGCTGAATACCGAATACTTGGGTGTGTTAATATACAGTTAAATATAATACATAGTTAAACATACACTTATGTCAAATAGGTTATTAATTTGGCTCCAACAGCAATAGAAAGATCTCCACCCACTTTCTACAAAACAGTTTGTTTAAATTACTGTCGTAGACACATTTTACAGTTCAATTCCACCCCGAGCCCTGGAGGGACAAACTCCTGGCAGTTTTTACAAAACAATAGTCTAAAGATAGATTCGATTTTTCCCTGTTTGGAGACATATGCTCTTAATTATTTGGATTTTATACATTTAGAAGCTACAAAGTGGCTAAAATGTTCAAAAGGATGTTAATTATACCTAACAAACTAATCTGTTGAAGACTGTCTTTTAGATATACAGTAAAACCTCATTACCTGTATATGTGAGAGGAAGGTACCTTGAAGTCTCAGCAAATGGTGATTTTAGCAGATGCGGGACTTAACACCTTTTGGGGAACATACTGTACAGCTCATGAAACAAGCATTTCGGTAGTAATATTTTGGTATATCTGTTACCTACATCAGATAGGTAAGTATATACTGGTATTTTTAATTAAATTGAATACTGTAAACGTAAAGCTTTGTTTCCCTCTATAATATGATGTTATTGTATGTGCAAACAAATTAAATTGGTGTTATGATATCTTTTAGACTATTTGAGTTTGTTTTTTTTCTTTCTTAGTACAGCACATTTGTTTTACTTTGAATATATTTTATTACCATTATAAAGGCAGCACTATTGTACTGTAATAAAGTTTAATACAGCATGTTAATAACAGACAAAAAATTAAATTGTGTACAGCTTTGCACACACCATAAAAGTAAAAACACACAAGCACAAACAGTAGGGGCTGGACATAAAAGAAAGTTTTTTGTCTGCTAGTGGGTGATATGTAATTCTCATTTACAGACATTACTCTTATAATGTCTACACTCAAAGGTCATTTAAAGCTTTTCTAAAGGAAACTGAATAAAGAATAACCCATGATGCACTGCTGTATGAACTCTTTGTTAACCAAGCAGACACTGAAACAGGTTAGGTGAAGTAGATCTGCGAGATGTAGATGCTGCACAATTGGAGATCTGCTTTTACTCTCCTACTGCTCCGTCCGTGAGTGGTGAATTAGGTCCCCGAATGTGGACATAGTGGCCACCAATAATTATAGGCGAAACCACAAGTGCATAAATATTGAGTCAATTTGTATAAAGATATCCGTTTGAGAGTGTGTGCTTCTTTCAGTGTTACTGAAAAATTGAAAGACCCGACCCTTTTTAGTCAGAACAGATGCCAAGGGCACCCGATACAATTCTTCAAAACCCTCAAAGGCGCTGACATCGGTGACCCACTGGACGTCTTCAGAGTCAGTAGTGAAACATGCACCAGTGGACACGCATTGTTAACCAAGCGTGTGCATTTTTAACTGTGAGCAGAAGGCACTTCAAAGGGCTGTGGCAGTAGGGAAAAAGCTACTCAGCCGATAGCCTGACTTCATTCAAGAAACAGTTGGACTTAACTACTGTCAAATGATTAGATGGGCCAAATGGCCTCCTCTCATTAACATAACCTACCTTGTGTGCTTGTGCAACCCATCTTATCACCAGGATAAGGGGCCTACTGGTATTGGATTTATTTAAAAATTATATTTGAGGTTACATTTCTTTTACCAGTTAAAGGGTTTTAATTGTATTGTTATACCTGCAGTGAGAAGCCGGTTTCAGAAAAACTTGCCCCTTCAGCATTAATAACAGACCTTTTATTTTGTCTGTAAAGCAAGCAGTACTGTATTAGTATACTGTAGACTGTCATTCATATTTATAGAAACCCTTTGGATGACCTTTTCATGTTTGGTTAAACTGCTTTCCTAGTCAGGTGGCATTTGGATAAGTTCCTACCTTGGGTTTTCCATTCGTAGAACAGTTTGTCTTTTTTTCTCACTGTGTTGAAACTAAATGTTGTCTGCTTTTTTTTTTCTCATTGTGCTTTTGGCCAAGTGGTATCTGAAAAGATGCACTGACAGATTTGTATCAGTGTTTAGGAAAACAAAAACCAAAGCCTTCATTTTAGAACGGTAAATGTTTGTTAAAAATAGAAAAGTAACATTCTTTGCTCTTATGTGTTTTGTTCATTTACAATTGTGCTGCATCTGCCTAGATTTTTTTTTTCAAATCAAATGACTCCTATTAAAAAATAGACATCTTAAAAAATATTATTTTCTAACGGCAGACACCATAGTGCCATAATGGAAATTAGGAGCTAAGTCCCGTTTCCATGTTGCAGGTTTGTGAAATGCGTTTGGTTAAGCTCTTTTATAAACCATCCCCCTGGACCCTGTGGAATGGACACTCCAAGATTTGACAGCCTTGCCTGACAACGTCTTGCCATTCAGTGTCCACATACATCTTCATCTGTTGGTGCTTTTCGGCGAAACGATGTGTAACAGGAGCAATATTCTAACATGCCCAGGTCTGATGGAAATGAAATTCAGTAGGACAGAGAAGAGGAATATATTATTTTCAAAGGAATCATGCCTTTCACTTCTAATTGGAATAATGGGAGCTCATGCTTATGCCATAGAGCAAAGTGCAGTCATAGCCTTGATGGTTACACATGACCTTGGAAGGGCTGGAATTTGCTCCTGGAGGTTTAAGGCAAGTATACCGCTGAGCCCAGCTATGGCCTCTTTTATGTTGCAGTTTTAGGCTACAAAATGCCCCCTGTTGATCTTAGTTGTGTGCACTTTGGTTAAAAGCTTTTATTTTGAGGGGAGAGAAAATATGGCCACATGCATATGAAGGGTACAGTGACACTTGTACAGAGTCACACTTGTGAGGGTTTGGTGCTGAGAATCATCATGAATTGCTAAATTTGCCTACTGTATAACCAAGTCCACTCCTATATCACCACATAATGTACTACATTATACAGTGTGTATGGTAAAGTAGCATTCGGTTACATGATTTCTAAAGTACTAGAAATTCCTAACTAATCAAAGGGTTAGTTTGGTAAAAAAAGCTGATGCATTGGCTTTAAGTTAATTAAAATTACATTGATCAACTAAAACAAAAAAACAGTGATCACAAACGTATTGCAATTAGCTAAAATAAACAACATGAATCCCTCCTCTACTGTATGTCCAGTGAATGCCTGCACTTTTATCTCTCTGCAATAAAACTGTCAGTGAGCCTGTAACGTCAACTCCAGTCTGTCATACCTCAAACTGCCGACACAGAACCGGGCAAGTTTGTTACAGAATAAAAACAGGAACACGCCGAGATGAGGATACTGGGTAGGGAGTGCTTGGGCAGGGGGAAGGGGGCAGGGAGAGGTTCATTCATTAGCTGGATTCGTCTCATGATTCTAGTCTGTTGCGCCGCTAATTGGACAGTTGCGGTGAACAGCCTTCATCTTGGTTTCATCCTGCTCTGCTCCTCTTCCATACACGACCACGCTGGCAAAACCAAATCGCAAATAAGCGCTTTCACCAATCTTGAAATTCACAGATGTCAATTCCCTTCTGTACATCAAAGTGGGTTATTCTTTACAATGATTATCTCTGCATATGTTTTTTTTTTCAGCATGGTTTATTTGGACAGTGTCTTACAGTCTTCACAGTAAAAATCTTCATGTGGTATTTGAAAGCACACTGTGGCTCCATTGACAAGGAGGGAAACTGCAGAGTGACAGCACAGGAAAAAAGCTGGTCAATCAAGCACTGTGTGCGCCTCACTTGGTAAATGCCAAGTAGCTTCTAGAGGGAAAAGGCATTTAATGTCAAGCATTTCAGAAACAAAAGTCCAGACTAGGAAAATAAATTTATGGCCTTTATATTCTAATCGCCCAATCTGCTAGGTAATGACTGGTTTCCACACTGTGTTTTTTTTTCTAGTTCATTTCCTTTTAGTTTTTTCTGGACGGACATCTGAAGATTTGTGTCTTAACATCCACAGTGGGAAACTGAAACTGAGTGAATGGCACTGTACAGTACGCTTACGGAGGGAGCTGTTTTTATGTCACTTTCCGTGAGGTGCATGTACAGTGTGAGTGCCCCAATTCTTAAAAGCTCCAGTTCTAAAAACA